ACCCTGTGACCACATGTTGAGCCTCGCAGCACACTGCCAGCGGCGCACGCGGCGCAGTGGAGAGGTGCGTGCGAGGCTGGTGCGCTGCCCGCGCGGCGCTCCACCGGTCGCAGCGCGCCAGCCTCGCCCGCCACGCCATGCCAGCAGCCGGGCGCGCGCGGGAGAGGTGCAGAGCTGGCGCGTGGCGGGTCATGGTCGCCGAGATCTGGACGCGCAGGACCGCCCGGACGGCGAGGCTCGAGCGAGCGCCTGTGTGGAGGTCGAACGGCGTGTGGGAGGGCGGTGGGCCGCGAGAGAGTCGCGCAGCCCCGCGTGTGTGGACCGGTGGCGCTTCGGGTGGCGTATCGGGCCGTCAGAGGCAGATACGTGGCGCAGCGAGTGCGAATACATGCAATAATTTGCACGCACCGTGCCGAGCCGACCCGCGTGCACGATCGGAGCACCTCAAGGCGGCGCGAGAGGCGGTGTGTCGAGGTGCCGCGGCCCGCGGCTGCAGCGTGTCGAAACGGCGCTCTCGGAGGCGCCGCGGTGGCGGCCGAGCGCGCGGGATCGGCGAGAAAATTTGACGGCGTGCCGGCCGTGGGCCCGGACGAAGGTCCTGGCTCGAAAACGCGAGCAGAGGCCGCCGTGTGGGGCCACGGCGAGCCTCGGCGAGAAAGGTCAGCACCCTATCTCACGCCATCGGTTGGCTAGTTGGCATGAAGGTTGCAGCGAGAAGCGGCGAGAGACTGCGAAAAGAGATACGAAGAGGCAGACTCCCCAGGGTGGGCGACGGCTAGCGCACCACACTCCTCTCCTTAAAATCCCTGTGTGGTGGCGGCGTGCCGTTCTCCCATCCCTCCCTTGGGTTGTCTGTTTTGGCCGCCTCTGTCAGTGTGCCCGTGGTAGTGAGAGACTGCTGGTGAGAAGCCGGATGAAGGTCGCTAGTCGAGAGAGATCGCCAGTGGAATAGGGAGTCCACCGTGCTGCGAGCAGCCTGTCGCTGTCCCTTGTCAGGAGCAGGAGAACTAGGAGAGCGCAACCAGTAGGAGGCCCGCGCCTTCCCCCGTGCCGCCGGGTGCAACCTGTCCTATACGAGAGAGGACTCCCTGGGACCCTGTCTTGTGGGTGAACCCTGCCCAGCCCCCCTCCGTGTCGCGATGCGCTCCCCGCTCCCGTTCCCCTGTGTCCCTGATCGTCCTTACAAGATCCTGCTCGTGCAGGTGGGGACCCTGTCCTTCTCCCACCCCTCGTTTGGCGTGCCCGTTTTATTTATTTTTTATTTTTATTTATTTGGCTCGCAACCACTCATCCAAGCCGAAAGGCGGGAACCGCGAGAGCAAGGGATCGGCAGGCGGGGCGGCGGCGGCGTCGCAGGATGAGGCAGACGAGAGCGACGCGGGTGGAAGAGAAAAAGTGGGCTGGAAACAAATGTACTCCATGTCGTAAATCGAAAAAAGTAGCCGCACACAGTCACATACTGTACACAGAGATACCTCAAACATAGATAGACCATAGAGTGCTGCACAGAACTCAGAAGCGCGGGTATCCTGTGCTAGGTCGGTCGGGGTCCCGGGGGTCGATTTTTGGAAGTGTGAATAGGACGGCATAAAAACTGCAAAACAAGGTGCGTTAGCTCAGAAAGAAACACATAGACACCCTCATGGGGTGCCATCCCTCAACACAAGTGGCCCACGGTTCACAGCCTTGTTATTGAGGGAAAAATACGTCCATGGCGCTGTGCGCTGGTCTGTGAGAGGTTGAGGTGCGAGCCCTGCTGGAGGCCCTGGGGATGGGGTACGGTTCACAGCCTTGTTATGTGAGAAGAAAATACGTCCTATGGCGCTATGCGCTGGTCTGTGAGAGGTTGAGGTGCGAGCCCTGGAGGCCCTGGGGAGGGGGTTCACAGCCTTATTGTGAGAAGAAAATACGTCCTATGGCGCTATGGGCGGCGCGCGAGAGCCGTGTTGCGAGTGGTTCACAGCCTTGTTATTGAGAAGAAAATACCTCCTATGGTGCTGTGCGCTGGTCTGTGAGAGGTTGAGGTAGACGGGCCACCCCTCAGCCGGCAGGACCAAATCGTATCGCGGGCCGCCGGGCAGTGGTCAGACGCGCTCGGCGGAGGGCTCAAGCCAGTCTAAGCTTACCCTGGTGAGTTGGGTGTGTGACTGTCACACCTAGACGCGCGCGCTCGGAAGTCGGTCTGCGGAAGCTAACGACGTTCCGGCTGAGCGTCTGCGGAAGCGAAGGTGCGGATGGCGATCCGCAACGCGAGGCCTGGTTATGTCGCGGTCGGTGAGTGAGGCACCATCGCGGCCATCTGTGGACAGGAGTGACGACAGGCGTGACAGGCGTGACAGGCGGCGCGAGGTTGTATGTGGCGGCTGCAGGCCACCCGTGATGCGGCAGCAGGGAGTTGGAGGAGTGGCGGCCAGGGCAGCTCCGTGGTCGCGCACAGGGCGCTTGTGAGCGCCGCCGTGAGCCCAGAGCCAGCAAGTGTGTGCGCGGTCCAGCGCGGACCCGCGGCGCGCTGTACGGGGAGGCCATCGAGGCGGATACCGATGCAATTGTGAAAATTCCCGTGGTGTGAACAAAAGAGTTTACATGAACAAAAGTAAAAACTCACTCACACTGTGAAGAGACGCCATCTGAGTTCCTGTGTGAACGCAAAACGAAGGCCCAATGTTGTACTCAACCGGCAAGGCAGCTGCGCTCACCGCCGACGACCACAAGGGCATCCCGCTGTTGGCGGCCCTCGACGAGGCGCTCGTCGCCGCCCTCCGCTCGGGCGCCATCAAGCTGCTCCGCGCAGAGTTCCTGCGCGCCGACGGCTCCGAGGCGGTGCTGCCCGAGCTCCTCCGCCGGCAAGAGCTGGAGCGGATGGAGACGGAGAATGGCATCCGCATCTTCCTCACGCCGGAGGAGGCTGTTGCGGCGCTGCGCTCGCTGAGCCGCGAAGTCGCCGGGCTGACCTACGGCTGGGCCTCGCCGGACCACCCCGACGTGACTGGAGAGTATCTGGCGAACGTGCGTCGCTTTCTGCGCCACCCGCTCGGCGAGCACGTGACGGGCCTCTTCTGGGAGTGCGCCGCCGCCCCAGACCCACCCCAGACGCAGTGGCTGCGCTGCGTGATAGGCAGGCCTTCCCTCTGCGCCTAACCTTCACTTGACGCTTCTCTCACACTCTGCCGCCCCCGCCCCCCTGTGCGCCCCCCCTCCGCAGCTTCTCTTCGCTCCCGCAAAAGCCAAGGACGGCGGCCGAGGACGAGTTCTTCTATCAAGCCCTCAAGGTCCGCGCCGCCTTCTCCCCGCCGCCCTCTGCGCCCGCGCCGCGCTTCTACTCCCCACTCTCTCGCCCGCGCGCACATGCCCGTGCTTCTCCTAACGCCTCCCCTCTTCCTACCCCTCCGCAGGTCATGGGCGACGTCTACGCCTCTCTCTTCGGCACGATCGTCATCCGCCACCGCTCCGTGCCAGCCCGCCCGGCGGAGCTGGACGGCGAGGTGGTCATCCTCGTCGAGAAGGGCGGCGGGCTCGACGGCGCCGGCGCCGAGGCCGAGCTGCGCAGTGCTCTCGGGGCGTTTGAGAACCCGCGCTACGAGGAGGGCCGGTGGCGGGTGCGCTTCCCAACGCACGCGGCGGCGGAGGAGGCGGTCGAGGAAGCCTCTGCAGCAGGTGCGCTGCCGGGCGCGATCGCCGTCTTCCTCTTCTACAACGGACGCCCTTACCTCGATCGCGGGTGCGCACCCCCCCCCCCCCCCCCCCTTTCCGCTGGCAGGTGGACGACGTTTGAGAGCGCGGTGAGCACCGAGGCGCTCGCGCTCCTCGCCTACTTCCCAGGGCTGGGCAAGCTGCTGGAAGAGCGGCTGACGCCCAAGGTCGTCGAGATCGACGGCGCGGGGCCCCGTGTGGCGGAGATGGAGGACCGCGCCGACGAGGGGATGGGGCCGCGTATCGAGCGCGTGATCGCCGCGATCGAGGCGGCCTCTTTCACGGGCAAGGGCGACAAGCCGGTGGTCGTCGAGCTGTACCGTGACTACGCAACCAAGGTGGGCAACGCGATGGCTGGCTCGGGCGAGGGGGTGGAGGGGGAGTACGAGGGCGAGCGCAACGCGGCGGGAGAGCGCGAGGGGCGCGGCGTCTTCCGGCTCGCCAACGGCGACGTCTACGACGGCGAGTGGAAGGCGGGAAAGCGTGAGGGGCGCGGCGTCGAGCGGCACGCCGACGGCAGCGTCTACGAGGGCGAGTTCAAGGCGGGTAAGAAGGAGGGGCGCGGCGTCTACCGGCACGCCAACGGCAATGTCTACGACGGCGAGTACAAGGCGGGTGAGAGGGAGGGGCGCGGCGTCATGCGGTACCCCGACGGCAGCGTCTACGACGGCGAGTGGAAGGCGGATAAGAAGGAGGGGCGCGGCGTCTTCCGGTTGGCCGACGGCAACGTGGTGTCGGTCTTCTTCAAGCAGGATGCCCCCGTCGGCGAGGGCGTCGTGTGGATGGCGGACGGGCAGCAGGCGTGGCGGCTGCGTGACGGGGAGGAGGAGGAGATCTCGCTGGAGGAGGCGCGGCAGACCGTTGAGCGGCTCGGGCTCCCCCTCCCCTCCCCGCTGCCCGGCGCGGTGTGAGAGGCAGCACTCTTAGCGAGAGCACCCGTGGAGCACATGTTCTCTGTGCGAGAACCGAGCCGCGACCTATCTCATTTTGAGTCGGCGGCGGCGGGGGCAGGCCGCCGGTCCCCGCCGGATTCCTTCG